AAAAAAAAAAAAAAAAAAAAAAGTCTCTTTGCTCGTGGCAACACTGTAGTATTTGAGGAACGAAATCAAAAATTCGTCTGTATTTGTAGCTGCCAGAGTCACAATGATTTTACATTTGGATGCCAGCTACATCTTATACTGTAATATATTCAAACATTTCATAATAACTTTCTGTTTATTTCTTACAAATAAGATATTATATTGAGTTAAAAAAAATAGGTGACTAGCCTGCTTATATTATCTACGAAGTCCATTTCAGAATAGCAATAGGGCATTATAAAATATTTGTATAAAAAGCAGGCACAGCATCACAAAACATAATTAACAGAATCATATGCCCAATGTGATACAGACGTGTAAGTTCAAATTATTAAATAATATCATTTTCATCATGTTGTGAATGTATAAAAATGCTCGGCTTTTTAAATAAGTCTTACATGTATCTTTTTAAAACTTGATTCTGAAGATGACTCTACAAGTAAAATGGGAATGTTAAAATCCCCATTTAATAAGCAAGAAAGGAAGTTTCAAGGTTTCAGTCCTTAACTCTCTGTTCACTGTTTAGCTTACCCATTTCTTTTCAAAATTATAACTTGAGTATTAAAAACTCAAACTGCAATAAGTTTTTTAATTTTAACTTCTGAATCTGTCCTTCAGGTACTTTTGTACTCATCACCATGGAATTAATCATATTCTGGAAAATAGTATGACTGTGCTACCAATGTGCTGACTTTTACAATGTTATTTTTGTAAAAAACCTGATAGTCATGAGAGCTTAAACACACTGTAATTGGCCTCTGGAATAACAATGAACTGTAACTGATTTACCTGTAGAGGTAATTTAATCATGTGCCAATATCCTCAAAAACAAAGTCATTTTCCAAATGATAAACTCCGCATTTAAAGTATACAAAATAGTTGGTTGTTAAATTAAATACTACTGAGCACATATGAGGCAGATAAAACAAATTCTAGAAATGCACAAGGGAGATATTTCCCTATAATATACCTGACAGTCATTTTAATGCCAAGCTGCTGCACAGATGAAAGGCTTTCATTCTTCACATTTGCATCAGTAGCTAAAGACAACAGAAAACTGAGTTATAAAGTGTATAAAAGTTTGCATAATAATCACAGTTTAATTGAAAATTGATGAAAGCAATATTTTTACATATTTTAATGCGAATTTTGAAAACACTGATGAATTCATTATTTTAGGAACTGTCAGTTACATTTTCCAAGGAATTAACAGAAAACTTTTTACAAATAACTTTTTCCCATAAAAAGTGTTGGAAAGCATATTAAATACAAAACAATGGTAGTTTTGAAACAATCTATTTAACTTGACTCTCAGAACAAAAAGAGGAATTGACCCAAAAAGTGATCTAGAAATACTACTTTCATCATGCAATATATACATAAAACTTTGAATTACAAATATATACAAGCATGGTTATTTCCTTCCTGACACTAATCTTTAAGTAATCAGTGTTCTACTTTTAATGTATGATAACATATGAGGGTAGAATGAATGAATTTCTTCCTGCAAGCCAAGTTTTCTTTGTAAAGTAGTTGTTGTAATCATCTAACCAAAAGTGAAGAAGGGGTTAGTTATATCTTATATTGTAATATATCCAAACATTTCATAAAGAATCACTTTTCATTTATTTCTTACAAATAAGATAGTGATTAGCTTGCTTATATTATCTACAAAGTCCATTTCAGAATAGAAATAGCATAGTACAGAGGACTGCAGGAGAGGCTGAAAGTCTGGATTAGTTCTTGAGAACAGCAGAAGACCAAACTGGGAGTGAACCCTCAAAGGCACAACTAAATAGCATTCAGGGTCCAGCTGAACTTTCAACTTCTGGCTGAGAAAACTGTAGTATGCATACATACACACAAACACATGAACACACAATGCATGCACACACAATTAAGAGACTCATCACACAGTTATCTAGTGGTAGAGAAGACCAAAACCTAGGTTTTCAGAATATCATGAGGTTTTTTTATTTTATTTTATTTTTTTACTTCATTACACATTGGTGTTTCTCATACTATCCATATAATCTATTTCACTTCCAGGCTCATTCATCCCCTTAATAAATCATCTCTGATATAGTAAGTGTGGAACACCATGCAAGAAGCTATGAGGGATAAAAGATAAATCATACCTCATTCCCTAAAAAACTTTCCATGTAGTGTCAGAGATCAAATGTGTGTATAGATAACTCTGATAAAGGTATTTTAAAGTCCTATATGAAATAGGAATGATACAGATAAAGTGTTACATGAATTCAGAAGATGAAGAGATTATGTCTAGTTAGGAAGAAGTGGCATTTAAGTTGAACCTTAACATATATAGATGTGCATGCTTATAGTAATACTAATGTTTTTTCCCTCTGGAAAGTACGATATAGATAGCTATCTTATTGGTAAAGGATGAGTGCGCAGTGGGTGGAGACAGGTGTTAAGAATGGGCATTCCCATCATGATGTGTTCCATGGGCCACAGTGGTTTGTATCAGGAAGCACTGACCTAACACATCAGTGAAGAATATAATAAAGTTACGGAGCAAGGTGAGGGGAGTTGTCCAAAGGAACTGGATGCGTTAAATAATGAGAAGGTTGTTTTAGTTCTTCCCTGTGAAAGAAAAGAGTTCTTACATAGTGGTCCAGTTGTGAGGCCTGAAATGAGTCCTTTCACTTTTCTAGAGTTGTACAAATAATTTCCACGGTCTAGACCCTATCTAAAACTTTAGGAGACTGTATCTTCAGAGTAAAAAAATAACTCTACACATTTCAACAGATAATGATTCTCAACTATGGCGGTGCATCTTCTGAGGAACTTCTCAAAAATAAAGATAAATAGACTTGACTCCAGACTACTAAATAAGATTGCCAAGAGGGTATGTATTTTTAAAGACCTCTACAGTTTATTTCTTACACAATAAAGTTAAGATTTACATTTAAAGGAACAAAAGTTAAATTTAGTTACAATTGGATAGTTATACAACATTATCCAAATTTCACTTTAATGTAGTGTAGCAAATTCTCAAAAAAGCTTCTAAATGAGAATATATGGAGGTGTTGGCATACCAAAACAAACACCAAATATCCATTTTAAAAAATCACTGATGTGAAAGAGATGTAAATAACTTTTGAATGAGCAAAACTATGGAGATAAAAATATGGAAGGAATAAAAACTTTCCCAAAGCAGGAATGAAGATATAAGAAAATGGGTTAGGAGCATATATTTAAAAATGGGCTCCAGGCCAGGCATAGTGGCGCAAGCTTGTAATCCCAGCACTCTGGGAGGCTGAGGGGGATGGATTACCTGAGGTCAGGAGTTCAAGACCAGCCTCACCAACATGGTGACACCTCATCTCTACTAAAAATACAAAAATTAGCCTGGCAGGTGGCACATGCCCGTAATCCCAGATATTGGGGAGGCTGAAGTAGAAGAATTGCTTGAACCTGGGAGACAGAGGTGTGAGTGGGCTGAGATCATGCTGCTGACCTCTAGCCTGTGTGACAGAGCGAGAGTCCATCTCAAAAAAAAAAAAAAGAGGTTTCCATTTTAAATTTGTATGATATTTGATATACAATATCAATATACAATAAATCACTGTATATCATTGATATACAATAACTTAGCAAGCAAATTTTGTATTCTAAATACATCTCAGACAACAAAAGTTAGGTGGAAGAAACTTTTATTAGATAAAACTCTGGACTACATTAACTTACAAGGCAGGAATTGAAATCTCAAAAATAAAACAAAATTGATGGGGAAAAATGAATAAGTAAAATGAAATAATTTAAAAAATGGACATCTTCAGAGGATTTTGATCCATATGCATGGCTGGTAACGAGTAATTAATTGATGTAGGAAAAACAGTGCATAGGATACATAATACATACTTAATAAATGAATGAATGAATGAGTAAATGAATGAACCAACATCCAATGAATAGCAACAAAAGAAATTGTACTTTAAATATCAAACTAGAAGCAAGATGGAGAAGAAAACAGACATAGACTTAAAAATATTTTCTGTATATTAAAATCAAGTAACACATAGAAGAGATAGCTCCCACTCCCTGAAGTCACTGTGAAAAGCATAATGAAATAAGTTGTTGAAGAGTCAACCAATCAATGACATGTATAGCATCATTCTTACCCACTTACTAACAATGCTTAATTCAATCTAAGCTAGAGTTAATAATTAAATTATTCAAAATAACCAATACTTTTAATTATAAATGCAATAGTTTCAAAATAAAATGAGTTGACAAAATTTATGTAACATGAACTGAGACCACTCAGTGTGGTAATGCATTCTGTTCTATTTTTGGTTTGCAAAGCTAGCACATACAGCAGCAGTAGAAGAAATCAAATCTATCCTGCCTGGCACCTAATAGTGTGGAAAAAAAATAAACTTTCAGAAGAGTAAAGAATTTCTCCCATGGATGGAGAGGTAGTTACTGGTCGGCTGCTTACTGACTCTCCTAATGCCCTCCCTTATCTGTCCTAATGTAAGAAAACTCTTACTACCCAAAGAAATCAATGGACTACATTTCTTCCTCCCTGCTTCCTTTCCCAAAGTCAGTCTGTAAGTCCTGTTGCTTCTTTTGTAATATGTAATTGTATCCAGGCATTTTATTCAATTCTTACTACCACAGAATTCAGCCTTGTGACCAGTCTACTGTACATGTCTCAGCCTCCTAATTGATGTAGTCAGGGTTATTTGGGGAAAAAAGCATTTCCCTGTCTTGATTATGCAATTACCCCTGCCTGGAAGACTTTTCCCCTCTTCTCTTGTTTCTTTCCATTCTAATAACCCAGGAGGCAGCACAAGTACTACTCCTGCTCTCTATTAACACTTCCTCCTCTTATTTTCCATGATGGCACCAATTTGACACAGATGTCATTTTCCACTGGACACCTGTGGCCCTTAAAATAAAACCTCTCTTGACAATTACCAAATTTAAATAGCATATTAAAAAGCATATTGCCTGAAAGCAAGTAGTCAGTTGAAAAACTGTCAGTTTCTTTTATTTTCTACCTTACTATATGCTGCAATTTGTTTAATTCCTAATTTTAGGTATATGCCCTATTTTTCCTTCCTGAGGAAAGGTGCATATTAAATATCTCTTTGCAATTATCACACACTGTGCTTTACTCACAAGCGTTTCATAAATATAAGATAGAAGAGAGCATCTTTGCTTTTCAAAGAAAGTATAAAAGGTGTTTAAGGATATTTAATTAAATTTAAAACTATATTTTAATAATCAAATGGTGAAACAAGAAAAATGTTGATTTTTTTGTAACTTTTGATTAACTAGCATCACGAAGAGAAAAGAAATAAAAATACACATTACCCTGAAAGGGCCATTTAATTTATCATTTCAAAGAAGCAACTACACTAGAAAAAAATTCTCAACTTGTTCCAGGGAATTGAACCAACAAAAAGGAAATGTCTGTTAAGATATGGAAAGATACCTGCATGAATTTACAAACTGCAAATGTGCAGAAGTTTATCTGTTTGTTCTTTCCTCTTTCTTTAAAGGGATAAACAGTCAAACTAATTTGATTTTTCCAGATTTGCAAATTTTATAATGGACTGAAATCCTGAGGGAGCTAACAACAGATGGATGATTGTGTTATTCTAATTTTAACTACCTTAGGGTTTAGAAGGCTGTCATTTTTTAAAAGATAATCAATTTCTCATTTCCAGAAACCTAAAAAAAATTGAATATATCTACCCAGTATTTGATTTAAAACATTTTATATCAAAACAATTTTTAATTTAAAGCAAATAGAGTGAAATTTTACAATAAAAAAAATTGTTCCACCAGCCAAAAAATACATGATAAAGGATGAGAATACCTAAAGCCTTGGGAAGAAAACAATGTAATAGCAACAAGCTCAGTATATCACAATAATGAATATTAAACAATCAATCAACAGAAAGTCACTTCATTTTTTGGCTTTACTATCAGACTGGTGAATAGCTTCAGCTGGAACCTTTAAGGAATTTAAATCCGCATTCAGGGTTTATTTGCCTCGCTA